CCATCTTCCTTCCGAGGAGTGGCTGGTGGGTTTGAACTGCCAGCCTTCTGGTTAGCAGTCAAGTGCCTTAGGCACTATGCTACCAGAGCTCCTTTAGTGACTCCTAGTCCCCCATAAATACTCATTGGATGGATGAAGGGATAAAGTAAAGAAACTAAGACTGACTTTTAAACCTATGCTCTTTTGCTGAAACTGTAAACCCAAAGGTGAAGCATATGTAATAATAGCACCAAAATTGCAAGTTACAAAAGTAAGAGTTTAACTGGATGGGTTTGGATTTCTATGGGTAGAGCTCCAAGGGGTAGCCCCAAGCCAACAGAGTCCTGCCCTTGTCTTTCCTGTGATCCCCTGCAGAAGGAATCTGGATCTTTGGTCTCGTGCATCTACACAGTGATACCTGTATCTTCAATTTGCTCTTGGTATTCATTCATTCACCACTGACATACACTTAGCTCCTTCCATATGCCAAGCTTTGAACAATAAGATAAAATCTCTTCCCTTTAAGGTACTCACATTCTAGTGAAAGAGACAGACACAAAAACAAGCAGTTATGGCTTTATATAATGTGCTAACAAGATAACTATAAGGTTTTATACTTCCCAGCTGGCCTGGCCTGCTCCTATATTAAGAATGAGCTAATAAACTTTATAGCTCTGCATAATCTTTTTTTCAGTATATTTTCCTTGCTGCTCTGGAGTTCTGATTCAACTTCCTGTGTAGCTATTAAACAAGCTGTATCCCAAAGGGAAAGGGCAAGAGGTGCAAAAGAATCCACGGAGCCTGACCTAAGCAACCTGGTGCCCTGTTGCCCTCAGATATGAGTGAAAGCAGAACCCCTGTGTACCAGCATGTACCTGTGGCTGCAGGCTGCCCAAACAGCAGTGAGTCCTACCTGTCATTGGCCCTCGAAGTTGCTCTCATGGGAATGGGTCAACAGAGGGTGATGCCTGAAGGCCTCTACGCACAGGACAAGGTATGCCGTAATGAGGAACAACTCCTGAGTCGACTCCAGGAGCTGCAGCTGGATGATGAGCTAGTGCAAACACTGAGGAAACAGTGCATCTTACTGCTAGAAGGTAAGTAGAGAGAAACTTGTCACAGTGTCTTTGGCCTGTGATCCTGGGCTCCCCTTCCTAAAAGAGCACAGGTACAAGAACATATATAGCATTGAAGTAGAGTGAAAATTCCCATGGCTAGCAGATGCATAAGCATAGTGGTTAAGACACTTGCCTGCTAACCAGACGGCTGGCGGTTCAAACCCACCAGCCACTCCTCAGAAGGAAGGTTGGGCAATCCTACTTCCATAGTGATACTGCCTCGGAAACCCAAGGAGGGGTCGCTATGAGTGGGGTTTGACTCGAAGGCACATAACAACAACAACAACAAGCAGATGCATACAAGATCCCGGGGCAGTATGCAGTACAAATAACTGGCTGGCTTATCTTTTTTCTGCAGGAGGTCCTTTCAGTGGTCTTGGAGAAGTTATCCACCGGGAGAGCGTGCCCATGCATACCTTTGCCAAGTATTTGTTCTCAGCTCTGCTGCCGCATGATCCAGACCTATCCTATAAATTAGCCTTACGTGCCATGAGGTGGGTGACCCTTTCCCAGTTCCATTGCCTCCATCAAAGCAGAAATCTCTAATGTTCTTTTTCTTTGTTTATCTCACTTACTTATCTTTCCCTCTCTGTCTATTCCTTTGGACCTGCCACCAAGCCTGCCCTAAAACAGCTTTTCATATGATCTAGGATTCTTATCTGAGATGCCTTGCTGGTGACTCACTTGGCTTCTTGGCTGTACCCTTCATGGGTTATCTGGCAAAGCCCCTGAGGTATTAATAGATATGAAGCACCCAAGACCTGAGTCTCTTGTTCTGAGGCCACTTAGATAAGCTTAGAAGGGTTTGAGCCCTTCCAGAGCTCAACTGAGTCAGTTCCCAGGCACAGGTCCCCAGAGGGATCCAGGGGATGTAGTGATAGGTCTGGTTATTCCAAGACTTGAGAACAATGAGGTATGGTCATCTGGTTTCTGAATTAAAATAGGATCCTTAGTTCAGACAGGTGGGCCTCTGGGATGCAGCAGACCATGCAGAAGAATTTTACTTAGACCATAAGGCTGAGAGAACTTCTCACTCAAACTGAAAAAGACTACTGAGGATTCCTAGGCATGTATTTCTTATACTTTCAAAAGTAACCTTATGGCTTTTGAATTGCCTTCCAAATCCATTTGCAGTGGGCACTATTGCACTTGAGTTCAGCAAGTGCCTAGGCACTCACTCCACATAGAGTATAGTACCTTAGATTATCAAGTCTTCAAAACTTTTGGTTAGCCCTTTCCTGCACAGTTTCTCCCCAGCAAAGAACAGGTTTTTCTAAGGTGGTTCAGAATAGTCCAGTTTGTGGCTGATGACTCTCTTTGGGTCTTCTAGGTTACCTGTTCTAGAAAACTCAGCTTCTGCAAGTGACACTTCTCACCCTCACCATATGGTGTCTGTGGTACCCAACCGTTATCCTCGCTGGTTCACGCTTGGGCACTTGGAATCACAGCAGTGTGAACTGGCCTCCACCATGCTGACTGCTGCCAAAGGTGAGAAAGATAGACCATAAGCCCCACTGTCCCTGTCTAGTCCTAATTTGTTAAAGGCTTATCCTTCAGTCCTGAAGAAGAGAAGCTCCTCAGCCTCCCTTGACCACTTGGAGTAACAGGGATCCTTATTTTTAACACTGCCATTAGAAAGAGCATCTAGGTCAGAGGACTTGGGCCCAAGTCAAAGCTTTGGCCTATTTAATTACTGGCTCTGAGTTCACAGATTGAAATGATCTTTAAGGTAACTTCCAGATCTAGCCTTCCTTATAACAAAGTCACTTCATGTTTTCAAGCCTCTGTTCAAAATCTATAAAAGGAGGATCATTGTCAATGACCTATCTGGCTCTTAGAGCCTTTGAAAGATTCAGAGAATGACTAAGATAGAGCTACAAAACTCTTCACAGATAAGAAAGTTTGTGGTTTTTTAAGACCCCTGATCAAAAGAAAAGAAGCCCAAAGTGGCTCTCAGGCCTTTAAGCTTGTGTACTCCCTGTCAGCTATACAGGTTTCACCAGAAAGAGAAGTGAAAATAAGCCCCTGCCTGAGGAGTTACAATAAGATACTACCCACTAGGGACTCTCTGGTGGCGTAGTGCCTAAGGCATTCGACTGATAACCAGAAGGTTGGTGGTTCAAACCCACCAGCCACTCCTTGGAAGGAAGATTGGGCAATCTACTTCCATAGAGATACTGCCTCAGTAACCCAAGGAGGGGTCGTTATGGGTCTAATCAACTCGATGGCAGTGAGTTTGGTTTGATTTACTAGGGTCTCAGTATTTTCCAGGTACCAGAAAACTACATGGGTTTTTTGGAGCATCTTGTTACCAAAAGAAAAAAGCACGTTCATTGTAGAAAAGGTACAGATGAATCAATATAAAAATGATCAACACACTAATACAAAAGTTAAAGGATTTGATCAGTTTACAGAAAAGGAGATGACTTTTAAACAATTAAAATATCCAGCCTCATATCAAAAATATAAATTAAAATTACTCCAAGATAACATTTTTCTGCAATCTTATTGGCAAAAGTCAATAAATTCATAATAGGCATCCATATGTGGGGTGGGCAGTGGTGACGGCAATAACTGGCATAAGGTGTCAGAGTCCAACCATGATAAGGAGGATGACTTCATGGGGAAGAGAAGGACAGTGACAGTGACCCAGCATCAGGTGTCAGAGGACAAGGGGTTGAGGAGGGCAGCTGCACAGCCTGAAAAGGAATGGCAGAGCTCAAGCAGGATGTGGAGGACACCTGTGGGGGCAGCAGTGGTAACATGACCCAGAGAAGCATGTCAGAAGCCAAAGAGCATAAGGAAGGCATCTGTACAAGGCTTCAGCAGTAACAATGATAAAATGCTTACATATCATAAATATATTGTGAATAAATTTTTCTTGGTCAGAAAAGGAAGTTCTATGCAAACAGAGAAAACTAGAATGAATCCTACAATGTTGGGCTGGAATTGGAGGCATTGGTACAAACTCATGGTTTTTAATAGATATAGAAATAAATATGGAATTGTGTATGTATGTGTGTGCATGTATGTATATGTGTTTTTGTGTACATGTATTGGGGCAGGGATATACACACACGTACATATTTCCTAGTTCTGTTCACTGAGAGACTTTAGAGCAGCAATTGCCCAATAGCATGAACATTATCATATAGAATTGCTTAGAGAAATGGGTAATTTTAGGGCTGGGCAAGGAAGATACAAAATGAATCTGGAACATCTTGTGCCTGAAAGTAAGGACAGGCTCAAAGAATGATAGGGGCATATCACAAGGGACTTAGATGCCAATTTGGAGAGCCTACCACTGTCCAAATTTGGGACAGTTTGAGCATGAAAATAAATAAAGGTGACTTCTGCCTCACACCTATTAAACTCATTGTTGTGAAGTCAATCCAACTCTCAGCAACCCTAGTTCCAGAATAGAACTGCCCCATAGGGTTTCCAAGGCTGTAAATGTTTATGGAAGCAAACTGCCATATCTTTCTCCTACGGAACACCTGATAGGTTTGAACAGCCAACCCTTTTGGTTAGCAGCTAAACACTTAACACTGTATCACCAGTGCCCCTTTCACACCCATTGGAATGGCTAAAATCCAGAACACTGCCAAGACCAAATACTGATGAGGATGTGGAGCAACAGGAACTCTCATTGATTGCTAGTGGAAATGCAAATGCTGCAGCCACTTTGGAAGACATTATGGCAGTTTCTAACGAACCTAAATATAAGATTACCATTTAATCCAGCAGTTGCCCTCATAGGTATTTACCCAAGTAAGATAAAAACATAAATCCACATAAAAACCCGCATGTGAATTTTTATAGCAGCATTATTCATAGTTGCCAAAAATGGGAAGCAAATAAAATGTCCTTCAATAGGTAAATAGATAAACAAACTGTGGTCCATCCATGTGATGAAATATTATTCAGCAATAAGAAGAAATGAAGTATCACACCACGAAAAGACGAGGAGCCTTCAATGTATACTGCTAAATGAAAGAAGCCAGTCTGAAAAAGCTATATACTGTATGATTCGAACTATATGTCATTCTAGAAAAGGCAAAACTACAGAGACAGTAAAAAGATCAGTGGTTGCCAGGGAATCGGGGAGGTGGGAGCGATGAATGAATAGGCAGAGCATAGGGTATTTTTAGGTCAATGAAATTATTCTATGTGATACTGTAATGGACACATGACATTAAGCATATGTCAAAACCCATAGGACTCTACAATACAAAGAAAGAACCCTAATGTAAGCTATGGACTTTAGTTAATTATCTGAAAATATTGATTCATCAGTTGTAACAAATGTACCACAGGACAATGTGCAGGGAAAAGGAGGTAAATGGGAAGATTCTGTACTTTCTGCACAATTTTTCTGTAAACCTAAAACTATTTTAAATAATGAAAAACCAAAAAAAAAAAACTCACTGCCATTGAGTCATTTCTTCCTCATAGTGACCCTTCCTTGGGTTTCTAAGGCAGTATCTCTATGGAAATAGATTGCCCAGTCTTCCTTCTGAGGAGTGACTGGTGGAATTGAACTGCCCGTCTTCTGGTTAGCAGTCAAATGCCTTAGGCACTATGCCACCAGAGCAAGAATTACTAATATTGGGAATGAAAGAGTTGACATCACTATACATTCTAAAGACATTAAAATGGTAAGAGAATACTGTGAACAACTTTATGCCAGTAAACACTAACATAAATGAAATGGATTAATTCTTTAAAAGACTATCAAAGCTCACTCAAAAATAAATAGAAATGACCCTGGAACTGAACTCCCCCCTCTGGCTCAATTCTTAGCCAAATAATGAACAAGATTATAAGGGGAACAGTAACACCAGGGAGGTACCACTCCTTAGAACAATCAACCATAAGAGATCAAAAGGGCAGCATTTGCCCAGGGATAAAGCTCAGAAGGCAAGAAGGGATAGGAAAGGACAAATGGAAACAGTGAACACAGGAAGGATGCAGGAAAAGCGCTTTTACATTGTAAAGATGGTAATCAATGTCATGAAACAAAATGTACATGAATTACTGAAAACTAATTTGCTCTTTAAAATTTCACCCAAATCACAATAAAAAGGTGGTGGTATTTTTTTTAATTTGAAAACCAAGAATAAATGGCAATGAATTGTTGTTGTTGTTGTTGTTGTTGTTGTTGTTGTT